TAAAATGTTTTTCTTTATAATACAGCAGTCAGATGCAAAGGTGGAGTTGACTGGATTCCAGATTTGTAGCATTCCTGGGTAATGTGATTTGCTCTGTTTTTAAAGCTTACCCATATTGTAGTTCATATAACCGTTGATAGCTGAACAAGAGATATTACACCAACCAATCTGGAGAAAAGAGGAAAATATACATATTACTTTTAAAGGCTTACAGTAACAAGGAGATACACAATAGGTAGAAAGATCTTTTATCCATACATTTAATTGTGAAGGTTCCAGTATGAACCTTATTTACTGTTTAGGGTAATAAATAATTTCTGATTCTGTAATAAATTAGTAATATAACACTGTGCTACACATACAATTAAGATATATTTGAAAATATAGGTACGTTTAGAAGAGCACATTTCTGATATTATACACTCTATTGTGTTTAGGGTGCACCTAACATGCATAGTAATGAAAGTTCTCTAATGAATGGAATAATCTATCTGCTGGCTTGAGTTCCATGTAGACACATTGCATATGAAACTTAATGTCACCACTTCCCTTAAAATTCTCCGGATATATGGTTACAACCTAGCTCCTCGAACATGTAGATTTTTATTTATAAGAATAATTGTGCATATAGCAACATAAAAAAAGACTTATAAGTTAGCGTCTTTCAAAGGCTGTGGAAACCTTAGCCCTGCTTTCATTAAACATATTCTGATTTGCTTGCTGGCCATCTCAATCGCGTTTCACATTAAAAAAAATCTATATGCATTACATAGATTTTCTTTTACGCGCATAAGAGTGGCAGTCTCTTAGTGGATAAGAGGGTGAATAATTGTGGTACACCAGAAAACAGTTCGTGCAGTTTGGCAGCTCTGTTTTTTATTATTAGATTTTTTGACATTTGAACTTGTCTATTGTCTGAGGAGCTCAGTGCAGATTGCAGTAGGTCAAGCTTAAGGCTGCTCTTTTTGGCATTTCACACAAACATGCACATGCTGTCTATTCTCCTTTAGTGAATGCAAGAGCTACAATTTTCCTGATGGGTTGTTGTTGTTGTTGTTTTCCTTGGGAGATATAATCTAGTGATATTTTCATGATAGCCTGGTTATTTTTTCTCATTTTGGATCCATTCCTAATATATCTACATTTCTTGATGTTTGATTCTTCTAAGTACTCAGTCGCTTTTACAGCAGCATGATTTCAAGCCTCAAAATGTTTGAAAAAGGGACTTCAGTAGCTCTGGGATTAAATGATTTATTTCCCCGAAGCTTCACCCAACTCTATCATGACTCCTACAGTCAAAGTTAACATCGTTCATCATTTCTTTGCATCCCCCCTCCTTAAATTCAACCCTCTGATCCTACTTTTTAAAAATTCTTGTTGCTTGATGGGGCTGTGAAGGAGGAGATCCTGAGCTCCTAACATGGATTTGTATACTTCCCACTACAGTTTTGCAACCTCTGAAGCAAGGAACCTCTACCATAACAATAGTAGCAATGGTGAGTTTGGGGCCTTTTATACTGTTTGGTTGAAATGATCAAAGAAACACGCCCACAAATAGTGGCTTATTAAAGATCCACTTTTTACAATTAAAATGTAAAGAACAATTTTATACTGTTGAAGGGAGGGATGTGAAGCAAACTGAGTGAATCCCACATAGGAAAGTCATTTTATACTCTCAAAAGACAGGAATTAATTCTAAGTAACTTTTCCCTGGCGTGATTTACGCTTTTTGACTCAGACTTTCTCCTAATCTGCCTCGGTGCATTGATTGAAGCGGAGCTGCAGCCGATCTCTTCCCATAGCTGCTTTTAATTTAAATTTCTTTCTAAAAAAATGCAGCATTCTCTCCTCTCTCAGCAGCCCCACTCCCTTTAACAAGCGTCTGATAACGCGTTTAAAGCTTGTTATTCGAACGCTCAGATCAGCATGCAGAAATGTAATTGCATCGTTTTTCACCAGGAAAGAAAAGAAGAGGGGGGAAAAAAACACACCTAAAGAAACTGTAAATGCTGAGTCACTGTAATGCGGTCATTGGGTAAACAGGAGAGAGATGCTGGCATCTTATTGAAAACCCTGGTGCAAATCGCATCCCCTATCTGCAGGCTTGAGAGCCCTCCTCCCTAGCCTGGATTTATTAATCCAGACTTTGAATAAAGTGGCAAAACCGCAGGCAGAGCCCTCCTTTGTCACTGGATCTCCTCCTCAGGCACCATGAGACCTGCTTTGTTATGGTGGAATAAGATAAACACTGCACTACCATTTCAGCTGCCCATAATGTGGGGGGACTACAGGCCAGTTCACCTACTGTTATAAAGGAAGGGAAAGCACGTTTAGTTCTGATCTTGGTTTGCTTATTTCATTAAGGTTCTTTTAAAAGTATATTGCTCTGCACTGGGGGAGAAAAGCACTTTCCAAAACAAAAGAAAAAAAATCTAGATATTTAAAAAATAACAAAGGTGGAATGTTTTCTTTTTATTTAACAAGATCTTTTGTTCAAGGCTGTTTTCTGGGGCCCCACTACCTCCCTTTTGAACTGCTTAGAGCACTTTGTTGTGGTTTGCTTACCATTGCCCTGGTTTGAGAGGTATATATGGCTTCAGGTATGTGTGACTGAACCTCATGAAATAACAGAGCTTCATAGGCCTCTGGCTGCTGGTGGATTGAATGAGGAGAGTTGAAAACAGTTTGCAGTAAGCCCTGCAGTGGGAAACAAAGAGGCAGAAACGCTGAGAGACCAAGGAGAGGCAGAACTACAGAGAGGCACTGGGCTTCCCAGAGATGCTTTTGCTTCTCTGTGGGGAACAGAGAGCATCCTTTGGGCTGTCTTTGAAGTTGAGGGCTGGACTGGACAGCCCACACTGAATCAGGAGCATTTAGAGTAAATTAATAAGAGTTCACATTGTTTTGAAATGCTGCTGTTGTATTCGAGAGAGGGGTGGATTTTTTGTGTCTTCTAAAGGTGAGTGCAGATTGCAATAGTTGCTGCTCTGTTTTTGTTTGTCAAACAGGGCTCTTCTCCTGGGAGAGGGGCATGTGGCGGATCCCAGCCCAGGATTACATTAATCAAAGCATTATTTCCCCAAGGATGCACAGCACAAATGATAGTAAATCCTAATAAAATTGGATCGCTGAGAAATTGAACGCTTAAAGTAATCTGCTCTGCCTGATAAAAGCTTCAGATTTATAAGATATTGTGTCCCCACCCTCAAACACCTAAGGTATCATCAGCGTGTGTGTATGAAATATTGTATATTATATATATAAAAGATCAAGCAGTGTGTAGTCTGACAGACTCATCATTATATACCATATGAGAAACAAAACACCCCCTATTATTTGCAGCATCCATAGGTTATTATCCTACAGAATCGATATCATAACCTCATTTAGGTAGTGGATTTTCTCTCTCATATATCTGAAGTCAAAATGGGCCCCAATATTAGATTCTCACGATCTGCATCTCATGAGGGAAAATGTACACTTTTAATATTGACACTGTGGGGAAAAAAGACGTGAATGGTTGAAGCTGAGTTTAAACATCCTTAGAGAGGATCAGTTACAGAAGGAAACAATGCTGGGATAAGCAGCCATTGGTGGAGGGAGGGGAATTGTTCCCGAGGCTGTTATTTTGTCTAAAATGTACGGCATGCTGCACTGTCAGTTATAAAAAGGCCCCGCAGACCGCTCCTTCGCCTGTGCGCTGGGGTCGGTGCAGCTCGAGGGGAGCCGCTAGGGCTTCGCTACCTTCAGGTTCTCAGCCTCAGCTCGTTGCTCTCTGCAGAAGAAAAGTTTGCTTGTAGCTGAAGTAGGAGGAAATGACAGTGGGCTCAATGAACCCCACCGCGCAATGCACAAGTGGACGGCTAACACTTTCAACGCACGCCTTGGGCATCAGGAGCTGGAGCAGGGAGCATCCTTCCCCCTCCCCAGCACACGGGCAACTTTTTTTTTTGCGGGGGACGGCACGGGACGGGACGGGAACCCAACCAAAAACCAAACCAACAACCCTGCAAATAAAGTAGCAACCTCCAAGCACCAGTGAATTCCCTTTTGCCCGTCTGCCGGGGTGCGCTGAAGCCAAGCTGCACGGACAAAACGCGCCGCTGCGGGATCCACCCGGGCGCCGGCGACCACAGAGCAGCGAAGCCGCCCGCCCGCCGGCAGCTTTCCGCGGCACGCAGGGGCGCGAGGGCGGCGGGAAGGCCGACACAGCAGATGCGTCTTAATCGCTCCCATCGGCTCGGCCTGACCCTTCCCGGAGCCTCGCGCGGCGGCTCGCAAGACAAGGGCTGGCTCCGGCTGCCCCCGGCCCCGAGCCGGCTACTGCGCGGGGTCCCCATTCCCCCGGCCCGAGCCCTGCGGGCGGACTGACACCGGCGCAGCAGCGGCACCTGGATGGGGAGAGCTGCACACACTGGCAGGTAGCTCACTCCGGCTCGGGGAAGGAAAGGGGGGGGGACCCTCCTAAATGACGCAATCGATGCTCCAGCCTTGGCTCCCACTTGGGCTGGTGCAGTTGCAGGAGCCCAATCCCCCCCCCCAGCTCTCTTCCTCCCCCCCCTTTTTAGTGCTTCTCCCCAGGACTGGGGTGGGGGTGGGGGGGGGCGAGTCCTGCTCCCCTCCGCTGCCAAACGGGAGCTGTGGCCGTGGCGAGAGAGGCAGAGCGGGCGGGGGGAGGCTGAAGGAGGGAGAAGCAGCCGCAGCAGCCCCCGGGGCGCGCGCACACCCACAGCCCCGCTCCCCCGCCCCTGCGCGGCTCCCCCTCGCCTCCGGCAGCCGAGCGCCGCCCGCCTGCGGCGCCCAAGGGGACCGGCTGGCCGCGCGGAGCGACTGGCGGCAGCCCTCGGCTCCCTTCGCCCGGCCCGGCCCCTCCGGCTCGCCCAGCCCCGCGCTGCGCACGACGGCTCCGCCTGCTCCCAGGTAGCTGCGGCTGCTGCTTCTCCTCCGCCGCCGCGCTGTGGCTTTGCGCTAAGGCTGGGGGGGGGGGGGGGGGGGGGGGATGTCGCCCTGCACCGCTCCAGCTCGCCTGGCTCACCGCCCTGCCTCCCTTGCCCACTCAGTCAGCCCCTAGTGCGGGGGTGTGTGTGTGTGTGTGTGGGGGGGGGGGTGTCCAGACTCTGTCACTAATTATGTCTTTTCACCCCCCTCCTCCGCCACTAACTGATCTATAATTTGGTACCCAAGTTTGATTTTTCTCTTGCACTCTCTTTACTTCCTCCCCCCTTCCCCCCCCCGCCACTCCGCGTGAAACTGGATCAAAAATATCCAAGGGGATTACACTTTAACCCAGTGCCTTCCTGCGAGCACTCATAAGGTAGGTATCACTGGGGGAGAAAATCCATCCCTTCCAGCATGCTCAGTAAGGTGTGTGTGTGTGGTGTGTGTGTCTCCCTGTGTGTTTGTATATAAATTTCGTTTCCTTAATTGGTTCTAGCTTGATGTGCACTTGCTTTGTTTAGGCTTCTTTAATATTTTAGGTGGGCTAGACAGAAAAGGGAGCATTTGACTTTGGATGTCTATATGATGGTGTCTTACTTCTGTTGTTAATTTGGAGTTGGGGGTATAGTTGGTATGTCAAAATCCTGGCGTCTGAAGAATTGATAGAAATAGAAGACTGTTCCATACTACAGACCTGGATACTCTCATGTTGTTTACTGTCATCCAAATCGTTTTGTTGTGGTCACAAAGGAGAAGGGGGTTATTTATTTACTTTAAAAGATTTGGATCAAGTTTTTTTTTTAAATTGTTCAGATTTGTTATATTCCAAATTGAAAACATGGCAGAGATTAAACCAATATGGGAGACCTTACCTGTACTACACTAAACAATGTAGCAAAACTGAAAGTTCAGAGCATATACTTAAAAATATATATTAATGTGTCTTCCTTGAAGATTAGTTATGAATAACCTTGGAATTGCATTCCTACTTAAAGCAACGTTTGACTCTGATGACATTCAGAAAGAGTTGGTTAGACAACTAGCCATGTATATTTTTAGCTCTTTACATTTATTTATAAGTAATTTCACTACTGTTCACTATTCTGGATCCAGTGCTTTGTAATTATCTCACTGTTGAAGGGCATTTTATAGAATTATTTTCTGATTCACTTATTAAAGCTTTTTGGCATCTCCAGGTATATTTTCCACCATATCTTTGGGGATAGTTATGTAGCCATGTGATCTTTATATGAAGAATATGAATGTTACAGGGTCATAAATAGGTTCTTTTTTTCACATCCAGCATTTTTGCCTTTATTTGGATTTGATGAGGAAGCTGTTTGCCTTTAGGCCTTTATAATAGAAAAGTTCTCAGTCAATTTACCTTGTATATATTTTAAAACACATGCTGGAACAGAAAATCACACTAAGTTACTGAAAAAACAGCAGTAACTGGATCTGTTGATGCTCCACCATAGAAACTTTAAATGAGACCCATCATGTTCATAAAGAATATTTACATGTAAATTACTGGAAGTTTCACTCTGTAAAATCCATTTAACTGATAGAATGTATAATATATATCCACATGCACTCTCATGTCAACATATAAATGTTCATGTATATACCTGTGTTTCTAAAACTAACTAATGAGGGCCATGTATTGCACTTGAAAAAGACACTAGCAAGATAAGACCATATAAAATAGTAATGGAAAATGAAATTTTATATAATGTCAACAACTTCAGCATGATTTTTGGCATAAGTAATTTAGTGCAATTCTGTTTGCCTGAACTGGAGTGATATTACAAAGTGAATTAATAGAACATTAGTATTGAAAAAAGAAACGATTCTTCCTTTGAAATATGAAGTGTCACTAACTTGCTATGACACCTGGAAGTCAGTGAATAATACATGTGAAATATTAATATTTTAAATGCATCATATTTAACATTACTGTGAACTTAAAAAATGTTTCATATCAAGTAGTAGTTCATTTTAGATTCTAAATTTTAAATGCAACATTTTGCCAATGAAGCAATTTATTAAAGAACTAAAGTCAGATATCTCAACATATCAGGTAATTTTGCACATGAAATATAAACATTGTGGAATATGAATTTAATTTTAGTCGTTATAAAAAAGAACATTCTTTTTACTTTCCACTAGATTGCAAGAAAAACATTTTCAGGTAAGCTGATTAATGAAATGAAGTGAATTGACATACTCCATAATTCTTGCATTTTTTAAATACATACTAAAAATAAAACCATAAAGGGACATTTATAGAAAGCATGAAGCCAGATAACACAACAATAATCATATTTGGTTTTAAAATTAATGCAGATTAGAATAGTAATCTATACAATATATTTGCTTTTGCTTAAAGCAAATCATGTAACATTGGGCATTGGATTTTTTAAAAAATACTACAATACTAAAATTATCACAATAAAAGCTATTGGGAGGATTGTATTAGGGTCAAATTCTGCATTCCAACTCCAAATTGTGGTCCCATTGGATGTTTTCAGTGGGATGAAGACATGGCCCTCAGTCCTTCTTCATGCATGAGTCCCTTTGACTTCAACACTTCCTGGTTTTGTTCTAGCACAAATGAGCATGTATACCTAATTTTTCTAAAAGCTAAATCCTATGTTCCTTGCCTAGGGCCAGATTCTGCTTACCATATGTTTTGAAGGCAATGGGAGTTTGCCTGAATAAAGTGACCAGGATCTATTTCTCAATCCTCTCTCTGACATAAATGCTGCAGTGGGGTTATAATATGGTTGGCATGAAGGCTCTATCTTCTCATTAAAATCTATGAGAAGTGTGCTGGAGTAAGGTCTGAGTGCCATATTGTGATCCCAGTTAAGTCAATAACAATTATTCCAGCATGGGAAATGAGGGCCAGATCGTGCTTACTTTAATCAAGCAAAATTCTGTTTGGCTTCAACAAATAAGGCAAGCAGAATTTGCCTTTAAGTAAGGAATGCAGGGTTAAGCTTTTTAGAAGAGTTAGATATACAGGTTAATTTGTGCTGATTCATAGGATCAGAAAGTGGTGTTCGATCCAGATGATTGTGAGAATTTTTCTACCTTACAAATTACACAAGACACTGTCAAGAACTAGGAAATACTGAAGTTCCCATTAGGGACAGAAAAACATAGGAATTGCCATACTGGACCAGACCAAAGGTCCATGTAGTCCAATATCTTGTCTCTGACAGGGGTCAACCAGATGCTTCAGAGGAAAGTGGAAGACCCTTGTGATAGGCAGATGTGGGGTAATCTACCCCCACATTAGCTCTTTTCCTGAACTCTACTAGTTAGAGATGGGCTAAAGCCCTGACACATGAAGTTTAATATCTCTTCCAATTTTTTTGGTTATTAATTATGATAACTCTGTCTGGTGTTGTCTTTTCTATATAAATGTCCAATCTCTTTTCAAATCTTGCTATTGAGATTTTAAATTCCAATCTGTTCTGATATAAAAACAAATCCATTGTTAAACAGTTTTTCCCTTTCCTCCATGTTTGTTTAAACATGAATTTCTTTGCTATTAAAACACATTTTTGTTTCCACTTTTTTTTGTTTTTTGTTTTAAATTTTGTTACACCAATGTGAATGATGATTGTTTATTCCAGAAGAAACTTTTTAAAACAATAGGACTTTCATGTCATGCTTAAAGGATAATTATTGAACTTATCATAATGAAAATCATACTAAATCGACTCCCATGGTTGTTGCCTTAACATTTTTTAAAAGTTTGGAATTAAAAAACTCAGACATGCTACAACAGACAAAAAAATTACAAAATATATAGCATGTATTAAAAATATATAACTCCCACAGGGATATTTAGATGTAGACAAGAGTGTACTTTTTGGTTGATAGAATATCAGATGGTGACATATGATTTTATTTTTATTTCTAATTTTTTCTTACAGTTTAATAAAGATGATGTTTTATATATAGATATAATTTGCTGAGCAAAAATTCCATTCAAGTATGTAAAAGAAGCCTTTACATCAAGCCAATTAATGAAGTGGGCCTATGAATTCAAAACTATAGTAGCTATAAATGATATAAAAATAAGGAAGAGAAATGGTCACATTATGTATCTGGAGGGATAAATACAGAATAATCATGCAGTTTGAAAGCAAAAAGAATTACAATTTGATAATAAAGCCTACAGTAAAGATAGGCAGGCACATTATAGTTCCACTGAGAAATATAGTAAGTAAAATAAAGCAAGAAAAAAAGATTATTTTCAAACTTACTTATGTGGCCAGGTCTTTTCTAGCTCCATGTTGAAATGTTCATTTATGTATCGTAATTACAATAATACTGTTAAAGAACAAATTACTCACACAAAACAGTTCTACATTGGTTTTAGATTTTGTACCCTTAAATCCTAAAGTTTAACCTCTAGCAGTCCCACTGTTAATGTAAGCAGGTAGGTTTGCAGTTTACAGTTTAGCACTATTTTGAGATCTGGTCCTGCAAGCCCTTACTCAGATGAATAGTCCCATTGACTATGTGAGTAAGAGTTTGCAGGATTAGGTCCATATATTGTGCATCAAGGCCAACATTTTCAAACGTGGGTGCTCATAAATCTGTATTTAGGAACCCACCTAAATGCAAGTGGTCTGATTTTCAAAGGTGCTGAGCACTTTACAGCTGCCATTGACTTCAGGGGGATTTGTGGGAGCTCAGCACTTCTGAAAACCAGGCCACAGGAAATTAAATATGGATTAAGGAACCTAGGTTTGAACCTAGGTGTGCTGGTTTGAAAATTTGGGCTACAGATTGTTGTTTGGAATTTAGGTTCCTTTCTGTAGAGGATGTTCAGGATAAAAGGAATACTGAATATTGAAGAAAGCAGTAGTATAACACCCTCTCCCTCAAAACAATCACCTTACCCCTATGCAAAAAGGTTCTTTATTGCTCCCAATGATGTAAATGCCAGTACTATAATTCCATGTATAACTGTTGGTAGTTTTGCCATTTACAGTAGGGAGAGTAGGAACAGTCCCTAAAACAGTAAAAACATTTTGAAAAAAAAGTGATATCCGTGCTACAAATACTTTAATACTATTAAATACAGGGAGGCTGGAAGCTGCATATGGTGAGTTATGCTTTCAATGCTGCCATTTTAGGTTACACAAGTAAAGATCTTAGTATTATATTCTTCCACAGATTTTGTGCTATGATTTGGAAATACTAAGAAGTATATTTTCTGGGCCTTTTTAGGAAGGACAATTTTCTGAGTGTAATAAACTGAATTCTAACCACCAGTCTAAACTTTTTGTGTGTGGGGGGCAATAAATAAGAGCGAGGAAGAAATGATGTCACGTACTGTACCATTGTAATTAA